CGAACCACAGAACTATCAATTACCCATTTCAGAAAAGAACAAACAAGTAATCTAGAAAATTCATCCTGTGAACAGAAAGGTTTCTACATTGTAAAAGGAGACATGGTCTTATTCCCAACGGGCAAAATGCTTTTCAGAATTGTTCCAGCACATTTTGCAGAAGTGTGGCAGCTGCTGTGAACAGCATGCAGTGTTAAGATTTGACACTCCCCACCCCACCCCCCACCTCATTTCTTCTTAAAGATATAGCCATTGGGGAATCTCACATATATTTGGTAGAATTTTACTTATTCATCCTTTTAATAAATCCTTCTAAAATGATTGTTCTAACCCCATTGAGCTCAGAATATTTCAAACTTACTGCCCTGAAATCTAATAGAATCTTTCTCTTAAAATTGGTGTAGACGGCTTATGGCCCAAGGGCTTAGGTGAGTCGACATGAAACCCTTTCTAGTTTAACATTCAAATCCAGACGAGGCCAGTTGGAAGCAAAGGTCATTGTCATTCTGAAGCTGTGTAGGAGATTCATTCCATGAAATGGTAAACGTAACCCAGGCCCTTGTGGATATAATAGCATCATGAAACCCAGAACTACCACTCAGAGTGTTTAGAAACACTAGCATTTTAGATGAGATCAGGCACATTCAGGGTGGTGTGGTCGTAGACACTAGCATTTTAGATACTGATTTGTGCTCACATCATGGATCTAACACTTGCCAGCTATGTGATGCTGATAAATAAAGTCACCAGGATTCAATTTCCTCATCTATAAACTGGGGGCTACAAAATACACTTCATTAAATGGTTATAAAAATTTTCATCCAGGCAATATGCTCATCACAGTGTCTGGCATAAAAATAATTCATAACAGTAACATTTTTTCAAAAATTAAGGCTTGCTTAATACTATAATCTTAACACCAAATAAGGCTTGCATAACACCATACATCATCATGTCAATGTTGACTCCCAGTAACCCTGTAAGACAGAGTGGAACTGTCCCCAGGGTTTCCAAGGCTGTAAGCTCTCAGTGCGTAACCACTACACAGCCACAGCTCTTCCAACCCAGCACAGACAATACAGACCCAACTCGTGTTTAGAAATATGAGCATTTTAGATGAGATTGGGCGCATTCAGGGAGGTATGGTGACATAACAGTGACCAAAGGCGGGTTCTTCCCGCATTTCATTAATGGAGAAAAGAATACAGGGACTCACCGAAGGTCCTTGGGTCCTTGAGAAATTATAAATTTGATGTCCTTGCTTTGAAATGTAAGCCACTCATGAAGGGGACCTTTCAGTCAATAGGATGGCCTATAAATAGCATCCTGATGAGGAATGTGCTTATTTAAACAATCAACTATACAACGGGTGGGTGGGGTTGGGGGGAAATCAACATTTATACAACAACAATAAATTAAAATGCAAGGGCAGATAGGAAACTGGATGGATGGGAACAGGGCAAGCAGGAGGAAAATGGTGCGAATGCTGACACACTGAGATTATAACTAGCGCCACAGAACCATTTGTTTATTAATGTTTGAATGGGAATCTAATATTTCTTGCAAACATTCATCTAAAACATAACATATTTTTAAAAGAAACATGCCCATCAGTAACAAGTTTTGAGGTTGAATAAAGAAGCCTTACTCAATGAGCTGTCTCTTGTGCTGAGGTGCTATTGAACGGGTTGCTACTCAAAACAGCCCTATCAACAGGAATGAAATAGTGCCAGATCCTGAGCCATCCTCCCCATCACTGCTAGATGAGAGGCGCACTGTGCACTGTGTCCATCCATCTGGTGGAGGATCTTCCCCTTTCCATTGACGCTCCTCTTTACCAGGCCTGATGCCCTTCTCCAAGAACTTGCCCTTCCTCGAATGTCCAATGCGATGCTTTTTCATAATCATCCCATGTGATCATCCTGTGTCAGGAAATATCTACCAGGATTGCGCTTTTGGAATCCGAAAAAAAAAAAAAATAGCTGCCATAACCTTCTGAGCTGATTTCTCTGCCTGGGCCATAACTGGCCCCTGGCAGATCCCCTTGGAAGCCACTGTTTTGACTGACCATTTTTTCATTTGTGAAGAAGTTTTAAGAAAACCGTTACCTGTCTTGGTGATGAAACAGCCAGGGGAGTTATGCCAAGGATTCCCCCCAGGTATGACAATGTCCCTACTCATGTTTCCAGGCAGCAAGGGTGTCCTATAGCATTCAATTAGAAACCACGACTACATTAACCTGCAGCCCTGATTGTCTCTCTCCAGGTTGCATTTTCTTTTCCACGAGCAAACACTTTAAAGAAAGATCAATTGGGTTCTTCAAAGATGTCAAAACATTAACCGAAGAGTGCAGAATTCTTTAGGAAAAAGTGTTAGAGATGGAAATACCACCTGCAGAAGTGTATAGATTTAGGTGTCAAGACACAGTAGCTTCACATTTTGATTATGTTTTATTAATAATGTTTTCTGTGATATTGTAGCAATGCTTTATAATTTATCTTCTAATAACATTATTTGGATATCAATATTATAGTATGATGAGGGGGGTAACCCCCAAAAAAACCTTTTTATTCAAAGCTATGTATTTCCTTTTTTTTTTTTTCAAAACAAGCTTAACACCTTTAAAGTACTCTCCATTCCACTTACTACATTTGTCAAATTTGCA